TGTGTTATATCTATGTATTTATGTTTTCTATGCATGTTCTATGTATTACTGTCTGAATAAACATTCATTCATTCATTCATTCATTAAAACTACAAAAGTACTCAGCTGGGAAAGTGTAGGTGTACTACATAAAGTACTCACGTGGGCGTGGGGTTTCCTCTGGCCTCACAGTCCAGAGAGATGTCGTTCGAAGAAAAGGCTGTCAAGGACTCCGGGGTGGACAGCAGCACTGGAGGTTCTGGTACTAAACACAAACACAAACACATTCTAAAGCTTTTCTCATCTACAGTATGTTTAATGTTTCCTCATCACAAACACACCACACACACACTTGTGTTTTGTTTTATTCACACGTTTAACACATAAACACACCTGCAGGTTTAGGCTGAGTTCTTCTCTCAAACTGAAATAACTCTTTTCCACCTTGTGATAATACAGGAAGTGCTCCACTGTGTTTTTAAACTCCATACACCTTCGCTAGAAACATTTGGATTTACAATTTCCAGTCTCTACTTAACAAAGAGGAAAAGGAGCTGTACACTTGAAAACTATTACTTCATGACATCACAAGGTGGAACAGAGCTTTGAAGATGTAGACAGACTAATAAACCAGGATTACTGAAACGTGTGAATGAAACAAAACACAACTCTGGGTTTGTTTTAGATGAGGCACAGCATTATTACACGTCTTAAAGCTCACAAGAGCTTTGTGTAATACAGGACTTTAACACAGAGATGATTCATCTGTGTAACTTTGAATTCGAGGAAATGTTCACTTACTGATCTGTACAATGCACAATCTGTTTCAATGTATGTTTCCTTATTACATTATCCAGCAGTGGAGTGCCGCCTACACTTTACACACATGCACATCATTTTGACAGATGTGGGGAAAAATATAATGAAACAACAAGTCAAATAATAATAAGATTTCAGATTTTAAAACAATCCAATAAAAATAAACTAAAAACAAATACATTTGAAGTAATTGCAGTTCCTTTCTGCAGTGAGTAGCAGACAGACTCATGTTCAGACAAAACGTCAGGTTTTCAGGGCACAGATCAGATGAACAAAGATCAAATCCACACAAAAGCAAAAAAAAAAAAAAAAGTGCCCTCTGCCAAGCCAATATTTAAATCTAAGAAGAAGCAGGAAAGGTTTTGTTGAAGTTTGAGACTAAACCAGGACTAAACTAAACTAGAACTAAACCAGAGACTAAACTAGGAATAAAACAGGGACTAAATCAGAGACTAAACCAGAGACTAAACCAGAGAACTAGAGACTAAATCATGGGTAAACCAGAACTAAACTAGAAACTAAATGAGGATTAAGTCAGGACTAAACTAGGAATAAACCAGAGACTAAAGGAGGAGTAAGCCAGGACTAAACTATGACTAAACCAGGACTGAACCACAGACTAAATTAGGACTAAACCAGGGACTAAACCAGAGACTAAACCAGGTCTAAACTAGAGACTAAACTAGGACTAAATCAGAGACTAAAGCAAGAACTTAACTAGAGACTATTTTAGGACTAAGAGAGACTAAACCAGGTCTAAACTAGAGACTAAACTAGAAATAAACAAGAGACTAAACGAGGACTAAACTAGGACTAAGCCAGGGACTAAACCAGAGACTAAATTAGGACTAAACCAGAGATGAATTTAGGACTAAATCGGGACCAGATCAGAGACTAAACCAGGACAAAATCAGGATTAAACCAGGTCTAAACCAGAGACTTGTGTCACTATCGTTGTGGTTCATATTTGTCAGAAGAGCCGGAGATGGCAGAGGGCACTGTATGAAACAAAGCAGATTTACAGGTTAGACACACGAGTCACGTCTATGGAGAAAAGAGACTTACTGTTTTGAAACGTGTCTGTGTCCGAGCGCAGGCAGAGAAAGCAGCAGAGATGACAAAGGTTAGGACTCATGCACAAAACACACAAACACAAGAACATGCACTCTCCTCTTAATCTCACACACACCACAAAGATCAACTTACAATATGCACCAAGGAGCAGGACTAAACCAGGACTGAAACAGGACTAAACCAGGACTACACCAGGACTAAACCAGGACTGAAACAGGACTAAACCAGGACTACACCAGGACTAAACCAGGACTACTGTACACCAGGACTAAACCAGGACTGAAACAGGACTAAACCAGGACTGAAACAGGACTAAACAGGACTAAACCAGGACTGAAACAGGACTAAACCAGGACTACACCAGGACTAAACCAGGACTGAAACAGGACTAAACCAGGACTAAACCAGAACTGAAACAGGACTAAACCAGGACTGAAACAGGACTAAACCAGGACTGAAACAGGACTAAACCAGGACTAAAACAGGACTAAACAGGACTAAACCAGGACTGAAACAGGACTAAACCAGGACTAAACCAGGACTGAAACAGGACTAAACCAGGACTGAAACAGGACTAAACCAGGACTGAAACAGGACTAAACCAGGACTGAAACAGGACTAAACCAGGACTAAACAGGACTAAACAGGACTGAAACAGGACTAAACCAGGGACTGAAACAGGACTAAACCAGGACTAAACCAAGACTAAACCAGGACTGACTAAACCAGGACTAAACCAGGACTGAAACAAGACTAAACCAGGACTAAACCAAGACTAAAACAGGACTAAACCAGGACTACACCAGGACTGAAACAGGACTACACCAGGACTGAAACAGGACTAAACCAGGACTGAAACAGGACTAAACCAGGACTAAACAAAGACTGAAACAGGACTAAACCAGGACTAAACCAAGACTGAAACAGGACTAAACCAGGACTACATCAGGACTGAAACAGGACTAAACCAGGACTAAACTAGGACTGAAACAGGACTAAACCAGGACTAAACCAAGACTGAAACAGGACTAAACCAGGACTACACCAGGACTAAACCAGGACTGAAACAGGACTAAACCAGGACTGAAACAGGACTGACACAGGATTAAACCAGGACTGAAACAGGACTAAACCAGGACTAAACCAGGACTGAACCAGGACTGAAACAGGAAACCAGGACTAAACCAGGACTGAACCAGGACTGAAACAGGACTAAACCAGGACTAAACCAGGACTAAACCAGGACTAAGCCAGGACTGAAACAGGACAAAACCAGGACTAAACCAGATTTTAGTGTCATGAATAGTGTAAAAATACAAATCTGATCTAAACTGACATGTGAACTTTGAACAGAACACATACATCTAAAACATAAATCTAAGCAGAATTGAAATGCTTGTCAGAAAAATCACATTTAGATTAGATTTTTTTGTGACTAGTTCTGCCGTAGTAGTTCAAACCAGGGATGCACCAGTACTGTACTCGTATCAGATATCTGAGTAAATATTGAAAATATCGGCTTCCAAGATATTTCTTAAGCCTATATCCCATTTTGGTATATAAATTGGTGTCATAATAACACATCTTACCTGAAAACACATAATATTATAATATACATTATATAATATTAAACTTGTATTTTTACAAAGCTGTTCTGTAGTTACACAAGAAGTCTGTAGTTTGGGTTTAAAGGAAATAAAAGCACTGTCTCTGCACTGGTATTGGTTAATATCGGGTATTTGCAAATACTTAAAGTCAAAGTACCGACATCGGTATCAGAACAAACAAACAAACAAACAAAAAAGGATCAGTGCATCCCTAGTTAAAACCTGGAAAAGTGTGAATCTAAGACTTGGAGAGGTCTAACCCAGGATTTACCAGGACAAACCCAGACTAAACCAGGACTTAACCAGGACTAAACCAAACCAAAGAACCTCAGCGTTCTACAGTATGAACAATCTTAATTTTTCCATCTTCTGCATCTCTCCATCCTCAGCCCTCATTTTGCTGTTTTTCTCCGTCTCTCTGGTCACATCTGGTCAGAGCCACACCCAGAGGAGCGGGGGGGGGGGGGGGGGGGGGGGGGGGGAACAGAGATACTGAGAGAGTCATGTGAAGGTCAGACGGACGAACCTGACTCCTCCTCATCCTTTTCATCGTCTATCTTCCCCTCAGGACCTCCCCAAACCAAATCCACTGTGACCTTTGAACTTCACCTCATGGGCTCAGGGTCGAGTTAACTCCATTTGAGCTCATGTGTGAGTGCATTTATGTGTCTGCTTGCATAATCCATTTATTTAATTCCACACAAAATGAACGCTACTGTAAAGTGGTCAAGTCTCAAGTCCTTGTATTATAACTAAACCAGGACAATAACTAAACTTGAATGTTAAAAAAAAAAAAAAAAAAAAAAAAAAAAAAAAAAACAGGACAATATGAGAACTAATGTTAAATCAGGAGTCAAAAAAGAACTAACTGAACCAAGACTGAACCAGGACTAAAACCAGGACTACCTCATAAACCAGGACTAAACCAGTACTACAAGACAACTATGTTATGCGAGGACTGTACCAAGATTATACATAAACTAACCCAGGCAGGACTGGAACTAGAATTAACTTGTCAAAGACAAAATAAGAATTCACAAAAAAGAACTAAACTGAAACAAAGTTATAACCAGGAGATTAAAAACTAAACCAGGACTACCTCAGAAACCAGGACTAACACTAAGAGGCCTCACTAGAGCTGGGTATCATTAAGAAGTTGCCAATACGATACATACCTCGATACACAGGCCACGATACGATACATATCTCGATACAATGCACTTTCGATTCAATACGATATATTTCAAATCGATTCGATACGGTTCAATAAAAAATAAAGTCTAAATCATGGCTGTGATAATATAGTCTTTGTTAAACCACTTCTTGTGCAAAGTTCATGTGAAACACAAACATTTTAATCATCAAAACTGTGAAAATGTCAAATTTGTTGCATAAATGAGTTTCCTTTCACTCCACAAGCCACAAAACTGTAGCACTGTAACAAAATAATTTAGTAAAACACACGTAAAAATACTCTTGCTGATATATCGATACAGTGGCCCACGATATTGATACTGTATC